ACGTATTGGATGTTTCAATTAAAAACACAAGTCACCTTATAAAATGCGATTTCTTGATGTTACTGAACCTTGTTATCAATTACTCATGAGTTTTCCTACGGTTTTTTGTTTGTTGTGTAATAGATGTCATAGTTAGATTCCAAATAAAATTTTAAGAAGGTTCAGAGAATCCTTGCTGAACCCAGCCATATTCCCCCAGATTAAGCAACAGGCTGATTGCTAAAGTTTCAATGTTTTCTTTACAAAATGAACATAAAAAAAATAAAAGTCGCACACTCGCGGAAAAAAGCGAAAACAAAATGTTGATACTTAAGCTCATCAATAGGTCCCATGCGGTCTGTAACGCTTGACAATCATGCGCGTCAAGTTGACGTTATTAGGCCCTCAGTGGTGCCAGTCTTGCTGTTCCACTTCTTCTACCTAACAATGACCCCTGCCAAGGTGGTTCTGTTTCTCCTGATGATTCTCACATTCGTCCTAATAGCATATCCTGCTCACACCTTGATTTCGGCGAGATTCTTCTTGATCGCATCAGCCGCTAATTCTCTAGGCCTAGTGAGTCGCAACCCCTTGAGCTTTCATTTCCATGGCTTTTGTTGTCAATTGCCTCCTAAGAATGTTTCCGCACCATCTCAATTTCTGCTCTCTCTTTTCTTCAGCTTCAACTTTTTACATGACCGCTCTGGTGTTCTTACCCCTCATCCGGTCCAGTGGAATCTAACCGCATGCGATCTCAACAACACGAGGTCCCAGTGGTGGAACTCCAATACTCCTCGACTTTATTTTAACACTCAAGCAGAGTTTATAGTTCCGTTCTGCATCGTTCGTCAATCAAAGGTGCAGCTAGGCAGCAGACCACTTTATTTAAAGAAAACTTTTCATTCCTCCAGCCGCCTTAGCAACACACCAACATAAGAAGAAAGAAAAGAAGCCTTTCCTGTATAGAGCTACTGACCGGTGTAGAGCTGATACCGTCAGGAAAACAACTCCACTATAAATAGCGTACTCAAGGTGAGGTTGTCATTTTGCCAAAGTTCGAGTTGCCGGTTTGTTGGACGTTGTGCTGGAAAGACTGGTTTTTCTGTTCTTTTCCGGACTCTGGACACAGTTCGTGAAGGAGAGAAACATAACCGGATGTTGGTTAAAAAGTAAGTCTTAATCTTACGGATCTCAAGTAGTCTCATGGCTCCGGAACTTGTGTCAGCTGCACCGGCAGTATGTTCTTGTGCCGTTTACATCAAAAGAGGTGTGGGTATGCCGCTAGAGTTCACGGTCCCATGTGCGTCTACGTCTTATGAAGTTGGTGTCGGAAACAGGCACGAAAATTCAGTCCGGCACTCGGCTCTTACAGTAATCCGGCACGTGTTAACACGTAAATTTTTACCCGTCACATATACGACGCGTCGAAAAGAGGCTCTGGGCAAGGACACGGGGGTGGGTGGTGGGTAAGCCAGGGGGTTACTGTAAGAGCCGAGTGCCGGACTGAATCCCCGTCCCAGTGTGTCGGAAACTAGGCGAAGCTCTGCCAGTATGCGCAGCCTACAATCCAATAAAACAGCAGTTACCAACAACCTCGCTGCGTTGTTATGATAGAACTAGTTGACATACAGATGAACCCAGAATGAGAACAAATAAATTGAAAGCATGCATCATTAAACCGCATACAGTAGCGCTCTAAAGTATTCGGCCAAACGCTTTTTCGGCCATTCAACAAAACGCTATAGAGCAGTTACTCGGTGTGTCGATCTGTCTAGGGGTCTGCTCGCACCATGATTGTTGTGAAGGTAGTGATATGAAAACCTCACCGCAAACTGAGGTAGTAACAGAATCATAAGCTCGAGGGATAGTGATGGTGCTTACTTCCTCATGATAATTGAGATCAATTAATAGTGATTAGCATCGATTGCGGCATAATCCGTTATATTGGTAAAGAGAGGGGTCTACTAATAGCGACATCCGATAATGATGTTTTCACCGCTCGGAACATTTGCAAGCACCACCCAAGGCTTTGCTTGACTAACAGTCAAACCTTTGATGGGTATTTTTTTCGAGAAAGAGAGCAGAAGATCGACACTCCCAATCAAAGGCGTAAGCACCGACTTACACTAGATACCATTTGTACTGCTCTGTTAAACCTGTGTCAAAGTTCGTGTGCAGGAAAACTATTTGTTCCAAAAAAGGAGTGAAGAGTTAGCCGATTACTACAACATTGTCAAAGTAGGAGGGAAGCTCGGCTTCAGCCGAGCAAACCGATTGGCACGACTATAACGTAAGCACATTTTGCAAGAGATCAAATGAAGTGAGCACTAAAGCACTGTAATGGACACTGACTTCTTGTTCGAGCAAAATGGCAGAAGTTATATCACTCATTCCTGTGACAAAAATGAATGCGTGGCTACTTCACCATTTCGATAGGAGCGAATGATAAATTCTTACCACGAGGTTAGGAAGAAATGCTACGATTTACGCGAGAGGTAGATATAACCAAGTGGTCAAGAGTGTAGGTGCGAGACGCAGTGTGTTCGTAGAGAAGACAAGACAGTGTGGTTCTAAAACGATGTCGTCCAGCGAGTTGTGAGGAGCAAGAAAGCTGTCTGCAAACGAAGGCAAAAGGCGCGAACTCCGAAAGGTCTTTAGAACTCGCAAGAAACTTGCCAAGCCTGCTATAGCAATAGCAGAGAACACAGAACTGGACGCCTCGTACGAAAAGCTCGACAGTCGAGAAGGACAGAAATTGAGAACACGGATGACAGATGGCGAAGTCTGTTAAAAACAGCGAGGGTACAATAATGAGGAAGCATTGTGAGGTCATGCGTAGGTGGAAAGAATAAGACACAAGGACAAACTCCCAAGTTAAGAGTTTCATTGTGAAGACGGCCCTCAGGTAGAGGCCGCAGCTGGGCCCATCATCTTTAGACGGAGCAAGAGCTCCGTCGGGCAAGAAGAAGAAGGTTGGAAGAGCAACTGGGCGGGATGGTGTACCAATTAAAACATGGAAGACGCTTGCAGAATATGCTATTAAGTGGCTCACGCAATTCCTGAACACCATGACCACTGAAGGAAGAATCCCGGACGCGTGAAAGAGCAGCACTATCGTTTCCTTTTGCAAGCATAGGAGCGATGTGATGAAATGTTCCAACTATCGTTGAACGAAGCTAAGTACACCCACGATGAAGTCGTGCAAGCGGTTATTCGAATCAAGGTCGAGGGGACTAGTCCCGTTTATACAGGAGTAGTAAGGCTTCATGCTTGAAAGTTCTCCAACGGATGTCATCTCCATAGCCCCGCAAGTGATGGAAAAGTACCGAAAAAAGCGTAGGCTCTGCTCTCCCTAGCCTTCGTCGACCTGGAGAAGACCGAATTGAAGTTTGACCATCTACCTCGACCAGAGAGCGCTTCGAGAAAGAAACGTTCAGGAACACCTAATCTTCTTTAATCTTCGCAGACATGAACGACGAGCCCAAACCAAGCATCCGCACGCTTTACAGTATAACAAAAGCCATAGACCCACAGTGAGGCATATCATATAATTGTCCAGCGTTGTCAACGCGTGGCCAGCAACGCGTCGGTCGCACGTCGGTTGAAACAACGCATACCGTTGTAGTCTGAAAGCGCCCGTAGAAGCACCTTTGCTCCTCACCAGCGGCCAATCGTCGAGAGGCGTTAGTTCTTACATCCGATGAGTGAATGGCGGGCCGCGCATGCGCGTGAGTGATTGCGTAGTTTGACGCTAAGGTTTGAGTTTCCATTGGTACGTCACACTGACTGCCGCAAAATCGTTGCCGCGGCGTGCCTGGGACTCTGAGGCTTCGGGTGGAGAACCGTAACCCATTAGAGGTGAGGAGTCCTGCTGCGACAATGGACCTCAATCACCCCCACACACTGCGGATACTGTTTCACAAATATGCAATGTGTTGATAGANCTGATTTTGTGAGGTCTTACTGTGGCCTCGTGCTTTTGTGTCGACAAAGTCCATAGCGAGAATTAACGGCACTATTTACTCTTTACTGCCACACTGTCGAGAATGGGGTGGATTTCTACCGAATTTTTTTTCAAGAAGACGAGACAGAGTAAAAACTTGCCTAGAGGGGTAATTTGACCAGTAGAACAAATATCGCACCTACTCGTCATGAAGATGCCTAGCGCTCGCGCCACAGGCGCCGGCGCCAAATGCAGCTTTGTCGACAATGTTGCTGAAGCCAAGCTGGACATTATTCACCCTTTTCTTCCCTGAAGTAATCGGTGTTCTCTTCGTATCCACACCGTACTTCTTCTTGGGCACCATCTTGAACTTCTTCCACAACGATTCGATGTTCTGGCTGTGGCCAGTTCGAGGGTCGCCAAAATTAACCACCCCATTCTCGACAAAGTGGGGCAGTAAATGGTAAATAGTGCCGAATTAACCAACAACATGGATGATCAGATTTGTTCCGTTGAGAGCTCGGAAGTTGGGTCATCTACCTTCCCAAGTTTTGGTATGGTCGGATGAGTTATTAGGACAACAGAGCCTTGACATGATCTAATGTCATTTGTGCCCTTTACAATCTTCCTATTTTCCTACCAAAACAGCATAACATAGCATGACAAGAGCAAAACAGCAAAACAAACAACTTCTTCCCATGTACGCATTCATGGCTTATTTAATTAATAATAAAAAGTTTCAGTGGTGCACATCCTGCGTTCTTCCAGAAGGTACGTTTCTTCATTAATAAATACAATGAAAAGGAAAAGCTCGAAACACAAGTGCCTCTATTACGATTTACAAGTTGTGTGATCAACAATTCTAATCTTTCCGTTAGAAGCTTCATAATGCTCGTTCAAGAGTTTATGAACACACACACACATACACACACGCACACACGCACTCACGCACACACGCACACATACACACATGTACGCATGCAGAAGATTGAGGATGACAATTCGTCATAAGTTTCAGTTGATGAGTGTGTCTACCAAGTAAAGAAAAATAGTTTTAGCGTTATATTCCCAAAACGTAATGTATGCCAGGTACATCGAGGCTTCCCGAAAGCTCGATAATGAAATGAGGGAGCCTCGACACCAATTGTTACTTTTTTCAGAACGAACAAAAAAGGCCAAGGAGAACCTGCAGATCAAAGAGTTAAACAGTCATCAAATTTAATAGGGAAAGATCGGCCACCAGTGAAAGCCCAGTCTCTAATACAAAAATCCAAAAACGCCTCCAATGTGCAGCCTCTGGAAAGGAAATCCATGTCAGCAGAAAAGGTAATTTGTGAGAAGTTACAACAAAGAAAAGCGGTTTTAGAGTTGAGCATAATTATGGAAAATTTTATATCCTTCAATACATACTCCTGTTGCTCCTTCTTGAAGAATGTCCACGTATGCTCGAGTAGCTTCTTTTTTAGCGGCAATGCTCTACTAAAAGCACAGTTCACGATGAAAATGGTTTCAGAGTTTTCCCCATAGTATAAATTCGAGGCTCCCTTCTATACCGTACCTGTCGTTATAAGGTCAAAAACGTCACGCACAATAGAGGGCCAAAGATTGTATCGTATGAATGCCACACCCATCGTGGACGAGATTCAACAGCTTTGTGGACGCTGCACTATCTCAAAAGACTCTCATATAGGAAGTTCAAACAATTTGTCATAACCCATGATGACAGTGAAGGGCAGTTTCGGGCAATTTCGACTTGATGTAGTCATCTCTCTGAGCTATGGGAGCAACTTAGATCTCGTCCAAACACGCTTTACATCCCATTACTGCCAGGGTGATCTCGTACAACCTCCACTTCCACTACTTTTAAAAAGCCTTGAAGTATGCGAATTCTTTCGCATTCTTTGCCACCGATGTACTCTTCTACATCAACACTTCCGCTATTCAATCTAAAAAGGGCACCTCAAAAATATCGTGAACTGTGCCTTCAACAACGATAGCGTGAAGATAAAAGCGTTCAGACAAACGGGTTCAGATCTAGATAGCAATTGTGAGGCGAACAATGTGCCTTCTTGTTGTTCACTATCACTCTATTGCTCAACCTGCGCTCAATCACTTCAAGAATTGGGCGCAGGTTGAGCAATATGTAGAGTGATAGTGAACAAATAGTGTATTAGGTGGTTCAGGATAAAAGAGAAATATCTGTACCTGTAAGCTGTAATAGATAGTCGTTTTGGAAGGCTTTATCGAAGCGACTTCGATCCATGAATGCAGCACTCACAGCTACATTACGAATAAACCTTACTCTCCCTTGGTTACTCTGAAGGCTTTGAAAAATGCTGATAATAGGATATTACAGACATTTTGGCTAACAGTTAACGGCTAGCTGGTGATTTCCGGTGAATCGACGTAATTAGATGGTGGAACGTATTCTCGATGTAGAATAATGAGCCATACTGATAGTTGTTGAGAAGGAGGACTGTAAACTATTGAACTTCTGGGGTTTCCGTGTCACACAGCGCTCACCGACATCAAAGTTTATGAACGCTCACAATCTACCTGAAGATACCATTGACATCTGTGTACTGCAATGTAGGGAAACGGCTAGTTTGCCAGCACGAAGATTTGGTGCTTATAAATAATAAATAAATATAAAAAATTTAAAAAAAGAAAAAATAAATATAAATATAAATAGATCAGAACTCTGAAGAGATCCTACTAGAGATTTACATTCTCGATTACGGCCACGATTTCATTTTACAAACTAAATTTCAGTCAATACCTCCGAGGAAGGCTGGATCTTCAGATTTACTAAAAAGCAGTTCTGGAGAATGTGATCCAGTTTTGGAAGAACAGTTCAAGGCATTTTTTGTACACTGATGATAGCACTTCTAGGCTATTGCATATCGGGTGAACCTTTGGTCCATTTAGGAGGTTGATAGATATCTGATGAGGTATCACTGGTTTCACGGTATGATGCCTAGAGAAGATTGTGAAGAAATGGTGATGGTGGGAGTTCAGTATCCAGAACCAAACCGTGGGTGCGTACCACATGCTCAACAAGAATCTATTTCAGCAAGAGGGAGATTACCTTGTACGAAGAACTACACTTGCTCAAATGCCAACTTACTGCATAACCGTTCGTCATAACAATGAAGTTAAACACATTCCAATATCGTATGCAAAAGGAATTTGGTGTATTAATAAGGTACATCGCTGCACATTCGTTGGGATATTTCCGGCTAAATGGAAATTTCAGGAATGTAAAGTGACACTTGCCGAGTTGCTTGATGTATATGTAAAGGAGCAGAGGCCGATAGCTCCATCCAATTCGGTACTTGTGCGTGAAATACATCGACCGGACTACTTCGTTCTGCACAAAGATATAACACTTGGACAGAAATTAGGACGTAAGCCTCAGAGTCTACCAGAGACGATTTGGCTCTTTATAGCTAATCACTCCCTATTCTTCCCTGCGCTAATACCCCTGAACTTGACCCAACGCACCTCAACTTCGACTCTAACTCACTGGAATACATCGTGCACCCTGAGCTGTAGAACTTCTGCCTTTGTGGCCACTTCAAACCTATATTCTAACAAAAATCTAATCAGAAAATATATCTTCTCTCCTCAATAATAAGGTGAGGCATTGATGAGCTTGCCTGTAGGGAGAGAGAGGAAGCCCCTCAGCTCACATTGCTTGGTATCTCCCCTGTAAACATGCTCCAAGTTCAAGAATAGCCCTTTGGACTCCAAATAATGTTAAGGCTAATACACCCTTTGAAACTGAATGCTATGTGTCTGTTTCCCTTGTCCTCCCACTCCCCTCAGGTGACGGTGTTTATACATTTTCTGAACGCTTCTTTTACTGATCCAAAATAGGTCCGCCTTCAACTTTGTCGCCATTCTGGCAGGGTGAAGTATTCAAGATCTCCCAGAAGCCTAAAAAGTTGAGGATTTCCGACAAGCAGACCCCGTTTCTTGCAAGCCACTCAATCCCTATCTCCTTTCCTTTCTATACAGCCTTCTTCGGAAACTCTCATTCTCAAAAGGAGAGGAAGAAATCGTATCAAAAGATGCGAAATATGTTTTTGAAATATTTATTTAATGGTCCTTACATGATATAGAGTAGTAGTGAATAGTTCTTCCTCGATTCATTCGAGCAGTTTTCAAAGGGTGAGGACTTATGCTTGTAGACGGTGCCTTCGGTGAAGTTTATTGTGGGAAGCTTAAATTGAAAAGTGGAGAAGAAGTCGATGTCGCCATCAAAAGAGCCAAAGAAGGCAAACTTAAGAAAAATCAGTTAACGTCATTTGTTAGGGTAAGTTTAGTACCTGTTAAATCGATGATTTCTATGATAAATATGGTTCAAAATAATCATAATAATAAGTTCGTTGTTTGACCAATAGATTTCGATAAGATGACCCTTTCCTTATATGAAACAGTAACTTGGTGTGTCGATTTGTTTGTCGGCTCGTCAATCTGTACGGTTGTATGATGTTTGTCAGTCCTCAACGCTTTGCATGATTATGATATCACAGAAGTAGTATAGGAAACAAAAAAGGCCTCAACTTAACCAAACTGATGGCAAAATGAGCTGTAGATGGAGGAGAGTGAAGAAAACTTACAAAAGCAGAGGAACCTACCCTCCTTTTGGAATCATGCAACTTGTCCTAAAGTCTTGGGGTGCTAGCCGATCCTGAGGGATGCGCCCACTCATTCGACTCCCATTGAAAATCGTATGGCGTATTGAATGCGTATGTGGTCTATGGGGTGACTGCGGTGACCAGCCCAGTACAAGTCAGTGTTTTTATCCTTTCAGAAGAATCTGGTACTAGTTGATCGACCCCGCAGCGATGAAGGCTCGATTAGATCAGGCGGATATCAATAAGGGATTCGACCCCGTGACTAGTGAGTGAAGTGCTAGTGCACCCCCCACTACACCACCTCCGCGACCTCGGGCCCTGTTTGACAATATATTTTCTGCGTCTGTGATGGAACGCCGGTCGCTCAACGAACGAAAGGAAAGGTCGTGATATGAGATGAACTAAAATGATTCAACTAGGAATATTTACTCGAGGACCATGTGAAAATCAAGGGTCGAGTTCATGTCAAAATGTTTTCACAACAAATGTCATCTGAATTCTTGTTGTCTGTCGCTTCATGAAGTAATAGATAATAAAATATAGTAACACCAAAGTGTAAGAGTCATCGACGTCATTCAATTCCTCTTCTCACATTACACTTCAGCATTCGAACTCCATTCGGAATCATTGTAAGGATTTGAATGCGCATGTGGCCTATACAAAGACTTGCTATGGCAAGCTGATGTACAAGCTAGTGATTTCTTCTCCCAGACCAATCTGGTAACGATTAAGCGATCCCGGACGTATGGAAGCGTTGATGGCCTGGGCTTGTGCGCTAGCGCACCATCCGCCCCTACGCCATCTCTGCCCAATAGTGAACAAACAAATAATAAAACTAATAATACTAGATAGGATTTCATTTCATAATATAAGTGTTATAAAATGCGAATTTACTTCAAGGAAGCACGAATCATGCGTGGGTTGAATCATCCAAATATCGTTCGAATGTATGGCGTGGCGGCACAAGAAGAGCCTGTTATGATACTTCTTGAATTGGCGATTGGAGGCAGTTTGAAGGTAAAACGTTGTTTACAAAATGCATCAATTAAAAGTCTCATGCTAAGGCATTCTACAAAAAGCATGAAGAAGTTTCGACAGATCAGAAAATGATGTTCGCCAAAGATGCGTGTAGAGGGATGTGCTATCTTTTCTTAGAAAAGGTGAGCTCCTCCAAGAATTTAAATATCTCACCGCATCTTTTCAGCGAGTAATAAGGTTCCTAGTTTTTACTACATTTTCAGATTATACATAGGGACCTTGCTGCTAGAAACTGTCTACTTGGTTCGAAAAACGAGGTGAAAATTTCCGATTTTGGTCTCTCGGTAGCGGACAGGAGAGAGCTACGGTTGAACAAACTTCACAAAGTCCCGATCAAATGGCTAGCACCCGAGACCATAAATGAGGTAAGGATATGCAGTTATAAAGCATCACGTGGAGAAAAAGTCACGTTAGCTAGAACTTTCATGCGCTTTGCTGTAGAGTCATAGTTTACGGCAATTTTGGGATACCTAGTTTCAGACGAATATTGGAAGTGATAGCCAGAATAGTGCGAAAATTGGGCGTTCGACGAGAATGCGACTACAAAGGTTGAATGAAGAGTGTATTTCGAATTGCTCAAATGCGCGCGCGTACAGCTGGCGGCAGTAAGCTGCATGCGTGCAGAGTGTGGGTCCCGGTGCGAATGGTGCAATCTTCACAACTTTTACAACGCTCAGGAACTCGTCCGCTCTCGGCGTGTACGTCGACGAGGATGGATCTGAGGCTCTTGTAGCACTCTGCCTTGGCCCTTTTTGACCCGACGACGCTTATACTATTCTTGGGGGCCACACAAATGAAGAAATAGCAGAAGCCCGGAACTAACTACCCAGAAACTAAACAAATCAGTAACTATAACGCGATTCTTCCATGCATCGTCTTTTTCTGTCTTCTGTGAGCTACAGCATGATCTAAAACATACGCTGTCATTCTTATGATTCCGTTGGTAAGATGTGGAGAAAGAAGTACCAGTGCTTTCAAAAATGCTCTGGTCGAGTGTCCAAGCTAGCTAAGTTAACAAGGCAATTTGCGGTTCGGGTAGCTGGGAAGCTCTCCCGCCAAGATTGGGCTTTGATTGGACAGTAGCGGTAACATCACTACATCGTTTATAATGAAACCAGGCGCTACGCACGCCCTCGCGCGCGCTAGGGGCTCTAGCCATGAGAGACGGAGCCGCATAAGCTGGTTTTCATTATAAACCTTTATCGGATTTATGAGTTCCCGTCCAAACACCGCCCCTTGTGGGCGGAGTCCAGTTCTGCCACCCACCGTAAGTTTTCCCGTCATAGCGCCTGAACTCCCACCAAACTTGAACTCTCTAGGTTCATGGGAACCGGAGTTATCGATTCTCGTATATCAATGTAAGAAACGATGCGAGCTTTGAGGCACGCTCCCCATTGTGGGCGGACCTCCGCTGACGTCATTTATGCTGGAGATACCTTCGACAATACTTCTCCTACATCAACTTTTTCCTGCTCTGTTGGCTTTCTCCTGCTCTTTTGGCTTTCTCTGGCTGGCAAATTATAAATGTTTTCATAAAACATTGCATTTCTGGAGAACGCCCCGCCCATCATGGTTGGGTCTTCCCATTACGAACTAACTTCCCAATGCACACCTCTAGCCACCTTTATACCCCAGGTTTGTAGCCGCCTTGTTACTGAATTTGAAATCATGGTCCTCAGTAGAGCTCATTTGGATGCACGCCACGCCCACTGTGGGCTGGGCTTCGCCAAGCTGGTGTGTGCTTTATACTTCTCGGGACATGGCCCACCCATTCCACGCTTGACCCGGTCTCTTTAGGCAGATCTAAAGACATACAGACAGACAGACGACAGACAGAAAGACAGACTAAGCGCTTTATAGTAAGTAGGATATAAATGACGAAATTCTGACCTCTATAACAGACTTTTGCGAACTAAACGCACCAATTGCGGAAGTTAAGATGGCTCCCAGCTCGCATCTTGACTTCACCGCTCCCCAGACACTTTATGACTAACTGTAAACGTAGCAATGAGCTTCTGGAAGCGGGGATTCTGCCCGAAGTTCGGAATCTCTATCATAAATTCAAGTAATTTCACACATTGTACAAGCACGTTGTACGACTGTTGGTGAAGGTATGGTACGTCAACATAACGAAAATACTAAACGCGGTATCCGAGTAAGGTGTGCGAAGTTGTGCATCAAGATGGCAAGGCTGTTGAAGGCACAGTTCACGATCTAAATGGTTTCTGAGTTTTCTCTCTAGGAATACTCAGTGATCCCCAAGGGTAACAAAGAAAGTCCAGGCAATCCGGTAGCGGGGCTCACACTATGCAATAGCTGTTGAGTCCCAAAACTCAACAGCTATGGCATAGTGTGACCCCCGCTACCGGATCGCCTGGACTTCCCGCCCCCGATCGATATCACGTCAGACGAGTATCGAGGCGATAGAGATTGCAATATTCATTCTAGGATCCACACGCAGTCAGCTGATCGCCGAGTGATGAGGCGAAGTTTTCTCCCACTCTTTTTTTTTTCTCTGTTATTCTTGTGCTGCTGCGATCTTGACTCTAATTTTCTACCTCAATTACCTGTGAAAAAATGGCTATTTATTTGCTACTAAGGTTTTTTGCCAACTAATGCTTATGAGTAAATGAATTTAATTATGCTTACCGTAGTTAGCTGTCCGCATCAGGACCTACAGGACAAAACACATCATATAGCTCGTTAAAACGCCCCATTTTTCTTCATTTTTTCTGGTCTCATCCTCGTTCAGGCCTCCTTTTAACGACTTTTGTAGCCTTTTTCACTTTGGAAACACCGATTCACGCAGTTTATTCACCTTCACCTCACTTTTTTCCATTTTTCGCCATAATCTGGATTACCCTAAATTATCGTGAACTGTGCCTTTGAGAAGCGCCACCAAAACTGTAAGACAGCGTCAGATCAATGCAACGATTCGTAGTTTGCTTCTTCATTAGTTTTGAGTCTATAAATATCATGTTTTCATTTGCAATACATTTACAGTTATGAACTTATCATAGGAGGCAGCTTTAAAAAGCTTTAACAGGGTATTTTCACTACGAAAACAGACGTGTGGAGTTATGGCGTGTTATTGTGGGAGATATTCGACAACTGCAAGAGGGATCCGTTTCCTGGAGTGACAAACGCAGAAGCTGTAGCAGTGATTACTGGGAAGACACCTCCGATGGAACCACCATCGGGAGCCCCTCCAATCGTAAAGCAAGTGATGGATTTGTGTTTCGTAAAGGTGAGGACCTTATTCGAAGGACTACCCCAATAAAATACTCGCATGAAGGGCGCAGTTCGCGTTCACCATTTACCTTCACTGGCTTGCAGAGTAAAAGCTTGTGCAAAGTAGGACGTAAGGGTTAAGAGAGGATGAAAAAATCCGCAGAAATCTGGATGTAGAAGGTCCATGTGATACTTTCTGAAGATGGGCGGAGTAATGACAGCAAAGGGACTATCTAGACCAGGTCCAAATCGCTGCAGATCAACATTTACGTTACGATTACGGTACCAGCCTCTCTAAAGCGCTTTACGCTTCCCTGTATAGAACGCTTTCCGACCGCCTCTAATACCCCTTTTAATCATCTCCAGTCATTTTTTATCAACTTTGCCCTTGAATTCATTATTTCAAGAATCTTTCATGTCTTTGCTGTAATTTAGGTACCAGATAAGCGGTCCGACTTCGCCGAATTGTTCCACATCCTTGTTCCGAATGAACCGCTACCTCCGTTGTCTTCTAAAACCATTCTCACAGACACTAAAGCGTGAGATCGCCATAATTAATTTAGCGGGATGTAATGTAATTGTTAGTATTTGTCATCAAATAATTATCCTTTGACTATGTACTTTACACTCAAGGGCATGTATTCTTCCTAAACACCACTAGAAAACAAAGCTTTGAAAGCGTTGATTTTCCCTGTTCTGCAGTTATACTTCCGAGATTAATAATTTATAGCCTTTTTCATGTATGATGCAGTTTATAGTCGCTCTAATAAAAGTTCTGTTTACGAGATTTTCCTGAATCCTCCCGTGATGAACACCATCCGCCAAGTCGGTGATTATATCAGTTCTAACTTTTTACTTCTTAAGCTGTGGGCTAGGATTACAAACAGAACTTCATTCAATTAGCGCTTTCGCACGGGTGTGGTGCAGGAGGAACGCAATTGTCGCGTCGCGGCGAGAGAGACGCCGAGCGCGAAGGGATGTAGCAGAATGTAGCAGCATGTAAGAAATTCAGAAAAGAAAGAACTAACAGTAGAATCATGCCATAAGTAATAATCGCATATGATTGAGCTGTATGAAGGACCCTAGAGAAAGAAGGAACAAGGCAAATGGTTAGCGATAGCCGCGTGCGGCGGATCGATTACCCAAAACCGTTCCTACTGCCCGTTTCCCCCTTTCGCCCCGTTCGTAGCTCATTAAGACTAAAGCCATTCAAGAAAACGTTCACTCAGGCCCAATTCGCCCTAATCGAAGCCCATTAAGACAAAAGCCGTTCAGGAAATCGTCCGATCAGGCACTATTCCAGCCCAAAGAGGAAGTGTAATGATAGCGTAAATCGCTATTACAAAATCGGTAATCATAAAACCAACCAATTTTCAAAGTAGTCAACCTGAGGCTCCGATTACGCGCTTAGATGCTGGGAGCCT